TGAACTTGAAGTGCAGTTATCCACTACATTGCCATGTTCTTTCCATAGTTTAGAGGTTAAAAGATTTTTCTTGCAGATCATATCACTTTTAATGTGCAGTCTTTTCTGTCAGTTCCCATCTTATCTGTATCCACATAAATTTTTTTGAGGTGTCTGCTAGAGTGGGTGAGATTAGCATGTAGTGTAGGGTTTTATTTAGCATTTCCCCAAGGCATATGACTCACCCGCTCTGCCTCTAGAACAGCAGAAAATTTCAAAATGTTACTTGATGGAGGAACGTTCTGTTGCAAACTAATATTAGTACATTAGATCTGGGGTCTTCAATAATACTAAAGTCTGGAACACTGCCACAGGGAACAAAAATGTGTAAATGTTTATAGATTATAATTGTGGACACTGTATAAAATTTAGATAAGGTTAAGGACCAAAAATGAGAATTCCTAATTTGGGGTTTAAAAGTACAAGTATATATCAAGCTAAAAGAACAAAATTGTCTTTTACCTAAGATTTGAAGGGAATTAAGAGACTTTAAACCTATCATATGCAAATAGTTTCTGCAAAAGGTTTTTTCTTTTCTGTGGTAGAAAGGCAGGGTAAGTGCAGTCATGGCCTTTCCCCCAAAAATTTATGATCATCCAGTTGCAAATATGTTGAGGTTCTCCATTTCTGTCCTGTCCTCCAGCACACTTTCTTTCTTTATCTACTTACTCCTCCAGTCAGTGACCACGCTTTAAGGTGAATGTGACTAGACAGAAGTGTCCTTGGATGCATTTTTTACCTTGGTTGAGTTGACCAGTCAAAATCACTGTTGAGGTTTGCAGATGATTAATTTCACTGAAAAATCTAAGATGACAACTCAATACTTCTGCAGTCCTAATGGAAACTGCTTGCAGTTATGTATTTGTTTATACTGCTTTGCCTAAGAAACCAAAAAGTCTACTGCAAGTCAGAACTGTGGCAGTGCTGTGACATACAGCCTGCAGCTGTCCCTGTGCAAGTGCAGTTTCCATTTCCTACAAGCTCTGGCGACCATGTTGCCCAGTTTTTAAAGAAACAAGACAAGTTCAAAACCATACACTTATATTTTGCTCTTTTTCTTTTTTTTTCTTTTTTTTTTTTCTTTTGCCTAACCCAAAGTATTTAACATACAGCCCAATACAATGGAAAAAAAAGAAATATGTCTGGTTTTTCCTATTCTACTTATTATACATGGAACAGTTAATCCTTTTTTTCTTTTTCTTCCTCACACTCCTTTCTTATTGAAAAATATTTAAGTCTTAAAAAATGTGGCTTTGATCATCTCAAAATCGATATCAGGTGTATCCCAAATTCATGATATTATTGACTAGACAAAAATAAAAAATCTGGGTTAGATTCACAGAACTTTTGAGAAATCTTTTTCCTCTTGCCAAGCAGTATTGAGTCTGTGTGAAAATCTCTCCTGTGCTGTAAGGATTTGAACCACTGTATTCCCTAAATTATTCATAACCCCCTTTGCTTCAAATCTCAGCTCTGAATGAGGCAGACAGAACCTTGGAATTTAGCGTGCTCACTGAAGATGAGAGCTCAGTCACTGGGACATGCTGAAAAGTTTTCCTTGAAGTCCACCAATCACAATGGTTTTATTTTGAAAAAACATTTAGGTGATCATTTAAACAACAAAAATATATGACCTCGGAAGGAAGAGTGTTAGTTTTCCAGTCTTGCTTTAATAAATTGCTAGTGATTTCTGCAGGTGCTTTTTTCCATGTACAAGATAGAAACAGTGCAATTGGCAATCAAACTTTCATGGATGATGAATCCCTTCATATGTATCTGTGGAAAGTGGCAAAAGTTGAGGAACGCCTCATACTGAAGATGAGTAATATACTAATGCTTAATGAAAGTTGTCTGCTTCTGTGTTTTCAAGATGACTTAACAGCTTTCTGTAGTTATTGTTTCCCTTACACATCTAAGGGAAGCAATGCAATTGATAAAAACTTTATGAACTCAAAATTTGTCTCAAGATTTTACAGTTCTGATGAATATGTAAGGGTCTTTAAATTAATTTATTGAGTGTTGTAATAAGTTTGTAACCTGATGGTCTGCATTCAGGATCATGTAAGTAACTCATTTGGAGTAATAGGCTGAAATTTAATACAATCAGCTTAATTTTCATTAGTATGGGAGATGCTGCACCAGATTCCTGATTAAATGTCCTGATCAAATGCGATTTATAATTCATATTTTCACACTTTACATATTTTGGCAAAGTCCTTGTTTAATCCTTCTAAGGAGAAGGAGAAAATAATCTACTCACTGATGAACTGAGTGTCAGGATACCAAGGGATTTCACATTCAAAGCATTTCAGTTTCAAAGGATGCAGATGGATATGCAATGACATTTTCAAAAGCTGCAAAGTAGTCAATCAACTAAATCAACAATACTCTTCTGGAATTCAGAACCCCATGGTGATGCTTTCTTGAAGACAATCTCTGAGTTTCACTGATTATTGGGGACTTCAGTGCATATTAGATTCTTGTTTATTTACAAGTGCACCATTTTTTTGTAACATGAAGAAAATATGTGACTAACAAAGATACAATTTGGTGAATGATCTGGTAAGTAAAGAAGTTTTCAGACATTAAAAAGTGAGTTAAATACACATAGCTGTCTTTTTGTGTATTGTCAAAAGGAGGTGCACAGACAAATAGGCAGGCATTCCACTCCATTAGGAGGCTGAGTGTTGAGTTCTCTGACTACTCAGTTCTCTACTTCTTCATCATGTATTCAAGGGTTTTATCCACACCCTTAAAACTTCTGTTTCATGGAATGTTCTTTTTTTCACTGGCATGTAGACTGTGATCTGACTGTAGCTGTGACAAAGTGAGGCAATAACGTCTGTACTGTTCTTGCATCTTTTAGTGCAAGTGAATTGTATAAGCTTTTTCTGTAGATCATACTTCATCCCATGAAGGAATGACACCAGGTGTCAGCTGAATATCTTGTTAAGGCACAAGACGTAAAGACAAAAAAAAGGAAGTGACTGTTCAAATATGAAACATCTTTAGCTTGGAGAAATCAATCTAGTCTAATTCAGAGACATGCAAAGCTAATGTCTCAATGCTCTTCTGTTTTATTCCCAGAGCTAGATGCTATTTGAGCATTTTTTTGAAGTCTCAAACAAAAAAAAACTTCAAAAACCTTTGGTTTTCTCAGAAAGATTTCAGAGTCAGATCTCAAAATTCCTACTGCTTAAAAGATATGATACTTCTTTCTTTTGAATTGTTTTAAATTATTTTGAAACAAAACCAAACCAAAAATTAAAAAACTCTATTTTACCAAACAAATCAAATTAGGAAAAAAAGCTGACCATACCATTCAGGAAAATGAACCTAACCATTTGAGAATTCTAAAATAGAGTAAAATTTGTTGCATGGGAGGAAAGAGAATGCATTATACTTTGGAGTTCTAGGAAGGATTTGTTGATTTAAGTAGGGAATGGCTATTTACGACTTTCCTTTTACAGTGTTTTTTTACCTCCTTGGCCTAGTTCAGATGTACATCAACTTCTAAAGAAACAAGACTCTTCATATTTAGACAATTGGAACACAAACTGCCAGCAATTCAAAGCCTTTTTTTTTAATTTTACCTTTTAAGTGACCTCCTTTTAATTCACCTGGAGCTGTGTCATCTGAAGAACCAGAAACAGTATCTATTGGATGATGCTGCAAATAAAGGAGCGTACCACCTCATACTCTATGATGATCTTTGATGGTTTTTTAATTATTGAGATCTGTAAACTTTGTCTGCTCTTATCTGTGATGATTGTGTGCATTCTCAAACTGATTTGTACTTCCTGTGACTCATCCAAGTGTGTTTGGAGCCAGTTTTATTTAAAAAAAATCTTTATCATCAGAATGTTTTGTGAGAAAGTAATATCTTAATTGCAACATAAATTTTGAACAAAATATTATGTGATAGAAATTTTTGGGATTATTCTTAATTTTAAAATGTCAATCCTATTTTGATACTTCCATGGCTATTTGTATCTCATATTTCTCACAGTACAGAAATTATTCTTGAACTGGGTTTAAGCCTGGAAATGTACAATGTTTCAGTGTTTTGTCACTAATATTAATCATTTTCTTTCTCAGGTATGATAGGCAGAAGCTAACTACTAAAGAAATTCATAATTGTCAATATGTTGCTCATATGAATCCAGCTGCTGGCAGCTTCACTAGCAAACCTAGGTTCCAGGTGTGTTTTGAAGTGTCATATTATAGCAATCCTGTATTTAATACATGAAATAATTACTATTTAGTTTTTCACTACAATAGGTAGGAGATGAAAGGGAATAGGAGAAAATGCAGTGTTTGAAATTTGGTACAGATTCAAAATCTTGCTGTTCCTATAGCTAAACAGAAAGAGACACACCATATTTATTATGGTATTGAGAGTCCCCTGAATTTCTTAGCAATTGCAGTCTCATGTGGGCCTTCACCTGGCAGATGTGTCCTTGGGGCTCATAGCCAGACATGCAACTGCTTTGGAACTGCATCAAGGATGAAACTAGAATTTAAATCTTTTCTGTGATACACAAGCAGATTTACGTTCACCAGGTTGTATTGTTATTTAACACTTCCCTGACTCCTATTTGCTGTCTGATGCTGGAGAATCTTCATCTCTTTTTCCCTTTTTATTTCCAGAGACATTTTACAGTATTTGCTTCAACTTCCTTTCTTATTGACTCTAAGACTAGCTCAGTTGGTTAGAGCCTGGTGCAAATAATGCCAAGGTTAGAGCCTGGTGCAAATAATGCCAAGGTTTGGGGTTCAGTCCATGTATAGGCCACTCACTTAAGAGTCGGACTTGATGCACCTACTTTTAGTCTTTCAGTGCAGAGTGTGTGGGTACATCAATCACTACATTATTGTAGTGTTTTTTCTTGAGAACATTTTTCATGTTCTCCTTTTGGGGAATTTTTTAACTATTATTTTTCTCTCTAACTGTGTGGTAGAATGTGGAAGACCAAGTGTAGCTGCAGCCTTGGCTCATCTATTGCTATTTTTCAAATGCAGAGCAGACCCTTGTTGCGAGCCAGTGAAAGCACGGGAACTGCTGAGTAATATGCTTCCTAGGAACTCCTCAAGCTACAATAAACTGCATGCCTCTATGCACCTAGTCTTGTTTGAGGGTGCCATGCAGCATGTGTAAGCAGAATATCATCTATAAAGGGAGCAAGTAATTCATCAAGATGCTACCAATGTTTGCATGAAGTTGCTTTTTACTGTTCAGAAGTTGTTGCAGTGCAGACTCATAATGCTCTTACTGGAAGGCTTATGCAGGGCACTATGCAGCAATAGTGCTGATAAATACACTTTATTGATGATGTTATAGAAGAGTAGATTGTAGCTCAGTGTTAAAACTAACCTCCATTTTGTTTATTTAAACAGGCGTTCAGCCTTTTTTGCACTCTATAGAAATTTACACCACTTATTTTCTGAGGTTGGAAAAACAGTCTGTAAAGCTGTAGACTAAGTCTGCCTTATCTTTTAAGTAGTTAATGATGTAACAGGTCTTTATAAGAAAACCAATATTTACCTTTTGTTTCCAGGAAAGGGAAAATGCTTTTAAAATGAGATTAATTCAAAACAAGGACAAGTAATACCTTAAGCATATACTAACCTACGCCCCTGCATGGCAGACTTGAAGTTGCTTTGCTGCCCAGCCTTGTATTTTTTTAAATGTAAACCAAGCAAGACTTCTAAGTGTCATCACAGATTTATTTTATTTATCTGTAGCTTTTTTTCATAGGTAGGTTGACCTTATCTCAGTTTAATGTAATTTGTTTTTCTTATGTCAGGATATATCTTAGTACCCATTATGGCCCAAAATCTCAGCTTCTGTTTCTGAAATCTGATTAACTGCATTTGCTTTGTTTTCCTTCATGGAAAAAAACCAGCCAGTTTTCAGAAGACAAAGTGAAGATTTTACCGAGTAAGTGAGGCGCAGAGTTCATTGTTGCTCCTTGTCATTATTTGTAATCTTTCTTGAACATATGCAGTCATTCTAGTCATGCGTAATATCAGTGATTTTCAGAAAGAGACAGAGGCCCATGCTGGCAGAGATTAGTTTTGTTAAAGCAGTTTCTATTATTTGCAGTGTCAAATGGTTTAACACACAAACTTTTCTTCTCATTGAGTTGGACTAGGATTTCAGTGTCATCGTTTTTCACTTTGCACATAATCAGGCAGGAGCTATGTAAGAGAAGACACTCTTGACTAAGCATTCTATTGTAGAAGTTTCTCTCCAAGAGGATTAAAGAAACGCTTAAATTACAAAGATAATCATATGGATCTTTCATAGGGACTGTAGATTTTGTTAGGCTGATTTAGAGGTTGATGTGATAATCATCAGAATTGCAGACAGAAGCCTTCTCAGGTATCACTAGTTTTGCTTGAAAATGGTGGTAAGCCATTATCTTCTCTCTGAAGTCTAGTGACCGAGAGTAGTATCTGTTTGCCAAATAAAGTGGCAGGGTGTCTTAGCCGTACAATTTGGCAGTCCTGGAAAAGTGATTGTGAAATTTAAACCTGTAAATTTTTTCTGCACCTTTTATGGGGGTTTTTTTATGGATCCATTGTGAAATCATGAATAAGGCTGATAAAGTTCTACAGTGAAGTCAAAGAGAATTGGCTTCCAGTAATGTTTTGGTTGAACACGTTTCTACCTCTTTATTAGATGCAACCAGATTAGACACATTATCCCTTTTATTTAAGAAGGTTTTTTCAGGGGTTACTTTTTTCAGTGGCATGAGATACAGAGAATGAAGGGGATGCTTTTTGGTTTGTTTTATTTATACATGAAAATAAATTAAGCATGAAGTCCAACTTGCTGCCTCTAAGATCTAATCTGCTGAATTAGACTTTCATGCCTCAGAATCTGTATCTAATTTTAAAAAAATAAAAATTTGTTAATATTTTTAGATGCTTTTATGAATTATTAAAATATCAATTGCAGGAGAATTCTTTTAATGTCTAAAATATAGGTTTTTAGGGGAAGAATTACCTCAATACACACATTTAAAAATTTTAGAAATTAAGTCTTGTCTGATTTGGGGGAAAATTCTTATCTGGCCTCATTCATCCTATAGTATTCCATGATCAGCAAATAAAAACATTCTTTAAATAGTCTGGACTAGATATTCCAAAAGTAAATTGAAGTTTGATGCAAATTTTTCGTTAGGTGATTTCTTGTCCTTCAGCCTTTGTGGTGCAAACTGCCAGACATGAAATTCTCATGTGCTTCTAGAGTCCAGCCAACCTCCCTTCAAATTAACTAGGTCTCTGTTCTGAGTCCAGTCAGGGCCCATCAGGATCTTGGGGTGGTGCTTTGAAGCAACTCAGTGTAAAGAACAAGCAATCAGACAGCTCTGGTCACTGTAGAGGTTAGTGCAGACCTTCAATATTTGACAAAGGAAAAGAACTTTTCTTTCCTCTTACTCAAATATTGGAAAGAAATAAAATACTGGCATGAAGGTAATGTACCTTTAAGTGTCGGGAGAACATTACCTCAAAAATAGACAAAAAAAAAGAATGAAAAAAAGAAAAAAGCAAGTGTGATGCAATAAAAAGAAACTTAGAAACTTGACTAAGGATGTTGTTGAAGTCTACATTACTTTATTGGTGTTCTGTCTTCAGGTGCCAAATCACTCATTTCCTTGAATTCCCTAGGGGTTGTGCACTTCTGATTGGAGTAGGTGGTAAACTGAGCTTGTCAAGGCTGGCAGCATACATCTGCTCCCTAGAGCTTTTCCAAATCACACAGAAGAAAGATTACGGGATGCAGGACCTCAGGGTAAACTGATAGATATTATTTAAACCTTTTGAGTTCACTGCTTCAAGAATGTGTTTTGTTGTTGCACAGGCTTGATAAAATCACAGGTGAAACAGTAGAATTTACAGTAACAACCCCTTTGGTTTCCAGCTGGACCTCTTGTTTTCTTTATTTTTGAAAAATGAGTGGGCAAAATGTATTTTAATGTCTGTTTAAACGCTTCACAGAATTTTGGTAGTTTCTCCACTTTTTCCAAGGTGGCTGCTTCACAGGTTACAAAGATGTGGTTGGAGTTCTGGTAGTTAGCAGTTTGTTACAAATTTTTGCGCATCATTGAGCCCTTATTGATTTAGGGGTATAAAATTGAAGTGGGTGAACACAAGAAGAAATGTTCTCCTTATCGTATGTTGTCATTTAGTCACTTAAACTGTCCATATGCAAAGGCAAGGACTGTGGTTGAGTGAAGTGCTCTTATCAGGCTTACTGTCTACCTGTGCCCTATCTGTGTGAGCAAACAGCGAAGAAAGGAACATTTTCTTCCTCTTTACTCCGTGTGGACAACAAACAATAGTTCCGAATCTCAGACTTGGCCAAATAACAATCCAATTATGGTCAGATTTGGTGGATGGCTGTCCCCAAAAAGCCCTTCTGTTAGCCTTGGGCCATGGCCAAACCACCACAGTGTGTGTAGACCAAGGCTTTTTAAGCCTTTGGCTTTCAGAGGGAGGTACATGCTGTTCTGCTTTGAAAAATGCTGTGTGTTTTTTAGTGTCCTCATGGTGTTTAACTTCTTGTGCCCTCCTTCCCTCATCAAATGAGGTGCAGTGTAAGATGTGGGCTTAAGTGGTCATTTCCCCCATGCTGTTTCCAAGCAGGGAAACTTCTAAGCCTCTGTTAACAAGCCTGAGGATTTGCTTTGCTAGGTTGTGTGGCAGCTTGTTCATAACAGCCAGCATTAACCTTATCCTGTATTTCAAATGTGACTGCACTCAAATGCAACTGATGTGGGTTGTTTTCTTTCTGGAAACCCAAGCCAAAAAGCATTCCATATTTGTACCACTATTAGCACAATGGTCCCAACCATGTCTCCATCTGGGCCGTAGCCAAAGTAATAGTGCACCAGAGCACACCTCAGTTTTATTGGTTTGGGGTTTTTTTCACATGGGAAAACCTTCCTAAATAAATTCACTAAAGAAAAAAAAAAGTTTTCAGAAACAACAGAATTTAAAATTAATCTGGATCTTCAATGCAATTCCCAGACATTATTGTTATAGTCATGTCTGTTCTTGATGGGGACTTTCATGGCTGCAATATCTCTTTCTGTTACATTGATGAGAGGATTTCTTTGATCTTAACCACTTGGTCATGTCAAAATGTCCGTGTTTGATATGGAAGAAAAACACAAACTGCATCTCCCTTTGGATATTATGTAGCAAATTAGTGACATGTAAATAAAGCGTGAAAAGTAAAGAGAGGTCAGCAGTGTGCTGCCATCTGCTAACATGCATTCCACACTTTTCCTGTATCAACATTGTAACAGATTATGAGTGATTGCCTCCTTTCCTTACAGGTAGATCTTGCCAGTTTGTACATCAAGACTGGTGCCAAGAACATGCCAACAGTGTTTTTGCTGACAGATGCCCAAGTTCCAGATGAACGCTTTTTTGTGCTGATTAATGACTTGTTGGCATCAGGTGATTAAACCAACACATTTCTTGAAAGATCTTTTCCAATGACAAATGATCTGTGTTTTCATTGAACTTTAAAGAGATTATTTCTCTCTCAGGTATTTGTAGGGAGAGCTTTTAGAGAGGCCAAGTCAACCCATACAACTTGAGCATTGAATCTAACTTGCTTAAGAAAGAATTGCCCACTGAGAAGACAAATTGCTGAAGCTAATCATGCCTAAGTACATTGGTTTGGGGGGAAATGGAAATCTCTTTTTGACTTTATGCTATGTTTACTTTGGTGTGATTTCACTAAGTTCAAGCACTGTCTTCATGACTGCACAAGTGTAACATGCAGCAATGCAGTTTTGCCCGTGTTTTGAAGATTAGAGAAACTGGATTCTGAATGTGGGGATCTAGGGATAGAATGAAAGAAAAAATGAGAATAGTATTCAGCACAGTTGGAGTGCATCTTGAAAGATTTTTTAAAAAGTTACTATTTACTTTTGCAACCAGACTTATAAACAATTCACTGACAGCCTGAAAAAAAGGAACCACTATTCTGAGGCATACATAATTTATGAGTGAACTTCCTATCAGGGCAAATACTTTTATCATTTCAAAAAAATGTCATTTCCTTTCCCTTAAAGAAATAGAAAAACTTCTTTTTAGACAAAAAGGTATAGGGAACAGGAGAAGACTCTTTTGTGACTGGATCTATCTGGTACCAGCATAGTTCTAGTTATGTGCTTAAACCCCATCGGGCTAAATACCATGTAGATTATTTGTCACGTGTTGTGTAAGGCTTCTTTTACCTACTCCTTTGTCTTTTCACAGGAGAGCTTCCAGATCTGTTCAGTGATGAAGGCTTGAAGGTCATAGTTGCAGGAGTTAGAAAAAGTCTGAGCCCTGCGTCTGATGGACACCAGAGAGCACTGCTGGAGGTTCGTCTTGAATAGTGGCTGCAGTTGAAAGTAAGGCATATTTCAGGGGCAAGAAACAGTCATGAACTGATCAAAATAGCAACATACTTCAGTTATCTCACAACCCAGCATATGGTGGCATACTTCTCTTGAAAGCTTGCTCACTGACGTGTGGCACTGAATTTGCCTCTCTCATGTTACCCCTGTAATTTGCCTCCCTGTGAGTTTTACTCCTAGATCTGGGCATTGACATCCTGCCTTTCATAGGAAAGTCACATAGCTACTCTGTGTCTCAGTTTCATGGTCTTATGTCTTGAACACAATGATGCACTTCAGAGAGAAGTGAGGTGCTGATGAGGAGTTAGTGCTGCTGTTAACACAATTATAAATATGTTCCCTAATTACACATGCAGTAATTCTGTATGTGTAGTCAACTCTTAAACATTTGCACAAATAATTGAAATTTCACAGAAAATGTTAATTTGTTCTACTTTTTCTACACCACTTAAAACTGGGAAAATAAAAATACCCATGTAGCTTTTAAACCTGTAGTTTTCAGGTTTAAAACTGTTTAGTGATTCACATTAATATGATACCACAATAGCAACAAGTGTCTCTCCTAAGCTCTGTTTAAGAGACAATGTTGTTGAGGAAGACTGTAATTCTGTCCTGAAAGTAGAAGTGGGAAAAACTGGTTTTGGAGTGGCATCTTTAGGAACTTTCAGTTTATGTAGGCTTCCATTTCACACATCATCTGAAACATCTGTGTAGCTTATAAGAAAATGAGAAGTCTAAAAACCATTAACCATCTAAAAAGAGAATGATTTGAAAGGAATATATGCCCCATACTTTGTGCATTAGTATGATCTATTTGATTTGGGATGAGAAGAGCCTTCCCATAGTAGATTATTCTACAGTGGTCTTCTGTGCAGGCTTTTTTCTTCATTTTCTGAAATGTTTAACCATGACTGATCTAAAGACCATTCTGATTTGATTATGAGTTTTTTATCAAGTTCTTACACTTGGATTATGAGTTTTGTATCAAGTTCTTACACTTTATAACATACCACTTTCTCTTTTTCCCCCCTCATCTATTCTTTTTCCAATTCTGCTTTAGTTTTGCTGATGTTCTCTCCTGTCTCTAACTCTACTGCCATTACTTCTGTCCCTCCACAAATTTATTCTGTAAGTTAAAGGTTGGTGGAGACCTGTATGGAATCTAGTGTAACATATTCTGTATTGTTTTCACTCTTACAGACTTAAATAACATGGTCAGTAGTGGTGCTTACCTTCTACATATCTCTTTCTGAAAGTGCTATTTGTCTCTGTTTCATGGCTATTGTGTTTGTGTATGTTTTTTTAAGAAAGGACAGAGGAAAAATTGTTTCTAATATCTCTCTCAATTTTCTCTTTTCACATTTTTTCCTTTTTTGTTTTTCTTGTTCCTACAGTCATTTCTTCATTTATTTTCCTTTTCTTTTTTCATTTTAAGGGCCTTTTGAAAGGCAGCTTTCAAACGCCTTTTACCTTGCAACCATTTCATCAGTCCCCCACTGTGCAAATTAGCACTACTGGAGGCAAGAACAGGAGATATCTATTCATGTTGCAGAGAAGGAAAGTAGAGATATTGTAGTACTGAAGGAGACATAAATTTTATGAGTTAACACACTGGCTAATACCTATATGAACTTTTAGTTAGTGCTGAGTGACCTATCACCTCTTCCTTTTCCTATATTTGAGGAATAAAAGACTAATATAATGTGAAAGAGAGCAGAAGGGACAATTTAGACCGTTTTATAATGTTAAAGCTCAGTGAAGTGATATAGTCTCATTTTTCAATTGTATTTTAGAAAAATACATGATTCCTACATGAAGCCACAATTCCCTTGTGCCCACTTACAGTCTTACTGCAGTTCTGTTTATGGTGAGGAATCTGTCACTCAGGAACCAATACTACCCAGTGCTATTCTTTGAATCACCATAGCTCTTTTGGTTTGTGTTGATTTTGTTTTGACTGTTTTCAATCTGGACTTTGCAATCCATTCTGCTGCTAATGTGCTGAGAACATGTCATGTACGTAGGTGCAAATTTAAATTGAAAGTATGTCAGGTGAAGACAGTGGCTTGCACTTTTATAAAATATGGGTCCACAACTGAAGGGTACGTGAGGACATACATACACCTGAGAATTTCAAAAACTTTCATGATAAATCATGAAATAAATGATGAAGGAAGAATGCTGCTCAAGAAAAGAAATTTGATGGTCAAACACTGTAAAAGTTAATGTGCTGACAGTGCTAAGGCACACATAAGATAAGAGGTTTCAAAGGCTCAGTAGTTTACTGGAGCTCCAGAAGTTTTTCAATATCTCAAATCTCTATGCAGTAATCACTCTTAAATACTCTGCACGTTACCAAAATTTCTTGAAAAAGTAAGGGCCAGAAGAAGCAATTATTTCATGAAACCATAGATATGAGATCAGTCAGTCATGCTGTCTCTTGAGATCCATCTGATTTTATTTCATTCTTTTGGTCATGGTAACCTTTCAACTTTTCCCCAGAAATGTGAACATCATGGCTAAATGCCTTGCAGCCCTCATGCCCTACATAAACATGCTCTCAAGTGTACTCTTTCCAGCAAGCATACTCTTTGTGTCATTTCATATTTGCATGTTTTTAAAGTTCTCATCTCAGTTTCCTCAGTGCTCTTAAACATTACTGTATATTCTAAAGCCAGACATGTTAATTTGGGGATTTTTTTAAACTGAATCTCTGTTATTCAGTCTGAGTGCAGCCAGTTTTCTTCATGAGCTGCTGGTCTACTACAAAAACTTGCTCCTCCTTCCTTGAACAAGTTTCTTCATTGTGTATTTTCCTCATGTTTCAAAGTTTGCAGTCCCTCAGTGACTGTTGTGAAGTCCCAGCATTAAGAACTAAATTTGCTAGTTTCAGGGGAAGGCCATTTCTCCAGTTTCCTTCCAACTTGGCATGACTGCTTTAGTCATCACATCTTTGTAATGGTCTTCTCTTTCTGTAGTCCTGTCAGGCTTTAGCTGGCTCCCCATTTTCTATGGCATTTAGCAGTACAGTAGTTTCATGCTTTAGTCCAAATTAATGTCAAACATAGGCAGAGTGGGTGTCCTGCATTGCCACAGGCAATCTTGTCCATATTTTTACTATTACTTTTCTTTTAAATTATTGTCTTTCATTTCCACATCCTCTTTTATTAGGACACATTAGCCTTTTCCTTGCAGTCTGCTTGACCACTGATAGAACATCTATTTTTATCTGTGAATCTGAGAGGAACTTGTGAAGGCACATCAGAGCTCAGCTTTTGGCCAGCTCTCATGGTTTTTTCTTTTGAGGGCATAAATACACATGTCTATCATCTTGACTGCTTTAATCCCAGACAAAAAGAACTATGTTTTTAGGGTTTCTGATTCTGTGTTAAACTAATAGTGACCCCAGATTTGTTTTCATTTTTAGGGTTGTTTTTGTTTGTTTGTTTGTTTGTTTGGGTTTCGTTTTTTTTTTCATTTTGTTTAATTCAGTGGAGAGTAACTATCGAAGATTTTCTGCAGCACATAAAACATCTGTTTCTGCAGTTGGCAGGCTCTTACAGTAAGAGTTCCTGTTTCTCTATGAAAACCTCCAGGCTTTTCTATTTGGATATCAGCCATCTCTTCTTGAGTACTCAGAGAGCTGACTTTCAAGGGTACATTTGTATTAGTAAATTTAGGAAGGGCATTTTGTGGTCCTGAGGACTAGTAGCATGACATGGCTGGCATCCATATGGCTTAGCTTTTCCCGTGCTGTGCTTGCAAAATGATGGTAGTGGCATAGAGCTGGTCAGGACTGATTCCTGGTCTGTAAAGCTCCCCACTCCTGCTGCAGCACTGCTTAGTTTCATATGGGAAAACCATGCAAGTGAGCGCACTAACACTTAAATGGGATGGGCCCCATCAGAGCAGTGGTCAAGCATTTGCCAAGGCGCTCTTTAGTTGTCTGTCTTGCTCTGTTTGAAGCACTTAATAAGCCTAGAGACCTCGCATATCTGAGATAAGCAGGAGGAGGTTGAGCCAAAAAATACAGTGTAAGAGACCCATCTGTAGTGAGAGTGACATGTGAGTGTGAAGCTCAAACGGGACACCTGAGAAAATAGGGGGTTTGTGTTCTTAGGAGTGGTGAATGCTACGTGGAAGTTGATATTAATTTCACATGATAACAGTTCTTTCTTCCACAATGATTGTCTTCATTACTCAGTTATGTGAATTTAAATCTAAAAAATTTCAGATGAAAGATTCTTGCATAATCCCTCTCAATCCACATTTCTTTCAAAGAAAACAATGAGTCTATCTTGGAGAAAGTTTTCCATTACTATATGAAATACCTTCTCTGCAGTATTTATATCCCAGTTGTCTTGCAAGACACTCTCCATTTCTTACAAGGAGAATTTCCTATTAATTTTTTTTCTCCTCTGTCCAATTAAACAGTAATGTATGGCCTGGACAGAAGATAAATGTTTTTAAAATAAGGCCTTCCTGCTTATGCAGAAATTGTTCAAAATGTAACTGGTAGTACTTACTCAAATTTTGTCGTAGCTCTCTTACTATCAGACCACACGGAATCTTCATCATTCTGCGTGCAAAGCAAGCAGTGCACAAGGTCCTTTATAGTATAGGGAATTCATTGGGGGGAATGCAGATGAACCCCAAAGACATGCCATATCAAGTCTATGCCTGATGTGAATTTACCAAGCTTCACTAAAGCTAAAGGAGAAAGAAAAGTTATGCTGTGGTGAGGTTAGTCTTTTTACGACTAACTTTTGAAGTGTATTCTGTACCCTATATTTTTGTTGTGCATAAAAAAATAATTAACAAAGAGATAGTTATCTAATCAGGGTGTTACATTATATCTAGGCCTGTGCTGAAATTTCCTGCCTAACAATACAGTATAGTAAAAATCTCTCAGTTGTAACTTTGTGTTTTCAGGAAAAGTAATGGAAATTATAAATTGTGTGTTTCAGTTTGAGCTCTAGGACTAACTATTCCAAGAAGTAATTTTCCACATATGAGCAATGTGAGCAGTGTAGGAGGGTGTAGAAGACGAAACTTCAAGCAAGACTGTGTATGGTTTCACCTTTGGAAGTGTGATAGATTCAGTTTGGCACCACTGCTATAGCAAGGGCACTTGTAGGAAGCACGTCAAAGCAGAGACAGATATCTCCAGGCTCTCCATTACTGCTGCTACCAGAGCAGAGAGGGCCTGCAGATCTTAGAAAGTGGCTACTAGTGGAATAGAAGAAGAGAAAATTAAGTGCCCTAGGCTTCAACGTTGCTTACCATGAGTCTTGGTGTTACAACTGAACATAGATTTTTTTCAGAAAATGAGGTGACATGAGGAAGAAACGGTGTCTAACTGAAACATACATGGTGTAACGAAGAAACAAATTCAGAAAAGTGTTCAAGGTCTTTGAGAATCGGGAAACAGACCTAGCAGATTCTTTCTGTACGTTTCTTCTTTTTCTCTGATTCAGAGTTTTGGAGTAGAGAACATTTATTCTTGTATCTTTTGACTGTTTCTTCTGTGTTGCCCTTCTTTCTCATTGGCGTGATAAAATTTTGCAGTAAATTCCAAGATCTTTCTGTGTCTTTATACAATTTTAGTGTAATTTTCACCACTTGGCTAGGATTCTATGTGGATATTTCTGCCATTTGCCTCTTCATGCTGAGGACATTCAAAGTAGGTGATGTTTTCTTATGTACCTTAAACCAATTTGCAGATTAGCCTGTCTTTGTAACACACCTGAACAACTGGACTCCGCTGTATTTTTGCATGGATGTCTACATTTCTGCCTAAGTTCTTGAATATGGAGGAGAAAGGACAAACCCTGTGGTTCAGCATAAAATCCAAGCTTTACAATATGTATAATTGTCCTAGCAAATGGTTTTTCTTCAAGAGATGTTCCTGAATAATGGTAAAGATTTTTTTGGTTTGACTTGGTTCTACAATCTAGCTTGTTTGCATAAATTCCTGTCCTGTGTTTTCCACTGCAGAGATGTATTTTTAGAAACTATGAGATAGTGGCAGTTCTTTTCCTTTTTCCATGTAATCTTCCAGATACCATTGAACTCTATTATTATCTATTCATCGCTTTACTCTCTGACTGCTTTAAAACCCAGTGAAGTATTGCCCTGGGTCAACCTCTTCCTTTCTTCACTCCTTTTTTGATTCTTTTCTTTCAACATTCTGTTCTTCTTCCTTTTTTATCCAGTTTTCTCTTAATAGGTATGTCAGTTCCCAATCAGTCCAGAAGAAAAATAAACTTGTCCCTTTTCTGGCATGCCTGACTGGGGTCTGTCTGGGCTCTTGTGGCTGTTGGACAAGTTATAAACTCTTCTGAAACCATCTGGATGTTTTCTACTGGAATTAACAATGTAAGTGCCATATGGTTTGAGAAGCCCTGTACAATAAAAATAGCTCCTTTACTAAGAAGTGTGTAGGACTCCAGTCCTATCTTAACAGCTTGATGTCTTTTTGCTAATGAATGAAGAGCAGATACAATGGCCAAAGCATGTGCTAACTGTAGTAAGTAGGTCCTCAGATACAACTGAGGACTACAATAACCCTTCCTTCCCAAATGTGAGTTTCTTTGGGTAGGCTTGGTGATATTAAGAGCCAATCACAGTTTTATTTTCCTTTGAATATTTTAGCCTACCCTTTTTGGACATCTCTTTCCACTTTTGTAAAGACTTGTCCCTAAAAATTCCCATGCAAACTAAAATCCAGATCTCCTTTTCTTCCTGCTCTTTTAGAGGGGTTGCACTGTGTATTGAAGTGTCAGGAAGAGGCTTGAATAGATTTAGAAACTCAAGAAGTGGGTTTCTGTCACCATGACCAGCTGAATGTGCACCTTCTGGCTGTCTGCAGGCCAGCCATTCCTATGCCTGCATTATCATCTATTGCTATCAAACTGAATAACGGATGCCAACATGGATAGAAGGGAAGGAAACTGCAAGTGTGCTATGTTTGTACAATGGAACAGGAGCAAAACCTATTTGCCAAGGTCACTGACGAAGTTTATTAGCTCCAAATTTGGTTTGGAGCTTTAGCTGTTTAGCGGCTGTTGCTGGCCTATGGTTAATTGTATACCTCTCTTTGAGGGCCTGCGATTCTTTCCTCTCCCTTTTTCCTCCCTCCTCTCTGCAGATTGTTCTGTGTTTCTTTCCAGCCAGTGCCGCCCTATGAGCATGAGCTCGGAAGTTCCCAGCCATGGTTAAGCGCCCTGCTATTGACTGGTTTCAGGAGTGGCCACGGGAGGCCCTTTGCTCTGGCAGCAGGAGGTTCATTGAGGAAGCTGAGGGGGTCGAGGTACAGAGTTTCAAGCTCATCGGTTTTCTAAGAAAGAACGGAGATCATTGAAAGATCAATAACTGAATAAGCTGGAAAAAAACAATGCTCTTTTTACTCCTTCTTGCATATTTATTGCCTTTGGTGTTGTTCAAGCTCACCCCTGCTAAAAGCTGAATTTTTATGGTATGCCACTGCCTGCTTCCTTCAGCAGAGTTTAGAGAGCTGTCTAGCACAGGCAGAGAAGTAAGGGAAAAAGAGGCATATAATTGGTCTTTGCAGAAGACTGTCTTTGCAGAATCCTTCAATTCTAGGCAATTTAGCATCTTACAGATACAGAATTTATTTAACCCTTTCCAATGGAGTTAAATATATTCAGTAGTGCTGTAGCATGTGAGGTTGAAATACTGCAGTGCACAGTCCAGGGGAACTAAAGAAGAGTTTTCCCTCTATTCAGCCATTAGACAGGTGAAAGTTTCCCCTGTAAGGGCAATCCATGGCACCACATGGCAAATGCATTTAGAGTTTTAATATCTAGACAATTATTCTCCCTTTGTTCCTGATTGACATACTCCTGATAGTCACTTGTTTGTTTTCAGAAAAACAAAACAAAACCCCGCATATGTTAGTGAGTTTCCTTATGGGGAAAAGGAATATACTCATATTATTCTAAGAATTTTACTAAGCTGCCTCTGTTGTCCCTTCCAGTGTGGGACAACACTGTCGTGATGGCAGTGAGACTGGTGGAGTTATTCACGTAGATCTAGAAAAGATTTAATTTCTTTCAGTGACTGCAATTGCGGTAGTTTCATTGTTATATTCGAGACTGTTTATTTGTCTAAGGGATTTTTAATCATAGTAGGCCAGGGATTTCAGGAATGCCCAAGGAAGAGCCGTCTGGTTTTAGTTGAGGGTGACACCAGGCAAATACCTGCATTGACAACATTTATTTTCTGTTCAGACCCATACAAAATACTTGGAGTCGTCATGAAATTGAGAAGGAAAGGGGAAGATATGTCTGAGGCTGCTTCCAGGAAACCCCCGGGCGTTTCCACTCCCCGGAGCCGTGTGGAGAGCCAGGCTGCGGAACCCGATCCAGGTTCCCTGGCTGCCGGCCCTGCAGCGCTCCGGCGGCACACGGATGCCTCCTGTAGGACTGCGGGGGAGAGAGAGGTGTTTGCAAATAAACCAGGCATTTGTATGTTCCATCAGCTCCTTCCGCTTTATTTTAATGTAGACTTACAGTGTCATCAGGGTAATTATTTGTTGTCTGGTGAGCTGGAAGGGGGGGAGAGGGTGTTAATTGCATTAATTTTTAATGTGATACTAACTTCTTATTTGAAAGAAATGGAGAGGATTGCACAGAGAAAAGAAGATAGAATTTATTTTGGTTTAAATATATTGTTTTTTCAGATCCTTAGCTGAAAGGACTGTATTTTTCTTCTATGAAAATACATCTGGTCATCAGAATTCAGTCTTTTAATATTATTACATATAAATATATAATTATCATATATCATATATAGCAATTCATAATGTATTATATTTAATATATAATATATTGATAAACTCAGGGGTTTTATTTTTAAACTTTTTATAAAATAATTAATCACTATGTTCCTCTAGAATTCGTTTTTTTAGGTACTTAGGAAATATTTCACTGATCCTAGCAACTGCTGATGAGTTTCTTTTTTCACACTGTTGTTAACTGCTCCTGGTAAATACCTTTCCTGTTTGATTCCCAGCAAGTGAAATGAATGTTGACTAACTAAATAATGTGACGCTTTGTTGAAAGCGAGTTAAGGTTTCTGTGCCATCAATATGTGTAAAGCAGTACTGGGTGCCTGAATCGTGTCTGCATGTGCAACCTATGAGAAGACCAACAGACAAGACAGCAAAATTAAAAAAATATTGAGATGAGGCAAGGGAAAGATTTGAAAGTGATGGGAAAAGGGAACTCAGAACAGAGGCATTGTAATAACAGAGAAACTATGACAATATTACGGGTGGGGAGAGATGGGGAACTAAGCCGTGAGAGACAGGAAAAAAAAGCAAAACTGAAGCAGAACAGTAGGAGAGGTGTACAGCAGGGAGTCTGGGGAGAAGTAAAAGGAAGGTGAAGGGAGAAGGACCACAGAAAAACAGTTAGTAAAGAGAGCGGCAACAGGACAGTTGCAGAGATGTATTAGAATATCAAAAGAATGAGAGAGGCTGGGTGGAAAAAGACCATCCTGAAGAAGAGGGAATCTTACCTGAAGTCTGCCATCTCCTCTCCATCAAAGATTTATGGGAGGTGGTCTCCTCTCCTCTCTAGTGCTGGTGTGTTAATATGCCATTTTGCTTGCTTCTTTTTAGATACTTCAGGAAAGCCTTTGTTCTTAGTAGAGAAATCTTGTTAGTTAGGGTTCACATATGCCTGGGCTTCTGTAACATACTGTATGATTGATCAGCAGGGTGAGGTCTATTACTGACTATTTTGACACTTAGATTGACATTGACACTTAGATCCTAATTGTCCTTTTTCACAGTTTCAGAAAAATAGAGCAATAGTAATTGATAGGGGACTTTTTGTTTATTGATGTTTAACAATATTACAGATTGTTTTTAATTAAGGTACCTTGAAGTTAAGCTAGTGATTTTTTTCCCTTGAGAGTTCAATACAAATATGATATCTTATTTAAATTGCTTTGACAAAAGCTGGAAAGTTTCTGGGTTTAAATGGTGAGGGAAAGCCATAAAAAACTCAGAGTGATTGTGGGAGTTGAGAAGGAAGTTTTTGGGTTTTAAGTTTTATTTTTTTCTCTATCTCTTTATCTTCAAAACTATTACTTTTCTGGAAGATACAGTTTAGCCAGGAAAAGAAGTGGGGTAGATTGAGCTCAGCAGGGAGATGGTGAACTGCAGTGTCAGTATCCTCTATGAAGGGTGTTGTGAACATCCCTTTTGCCCTGTGTGAAAGTATCTCAACAGGAAGAACAAGTGATCCTCCCTAATTATGGTGCCTGCTGAAAGTAGGCATTGTGAGATCCTTTTCACCTGGAGGGACATTGGTCAATGTGTGGGTTAAGGAAAAGAAACAGTGAGTTCAGAGGTATTTGAAGGGAAATAGAGAGTATCAGAAATTTAATCAATTCTGGTGTCTTTGATTTCTTGGGAGAGAAGAGAGGAAAAGAGCCCTCTTCTGTTTCAGTACTCAAATTGCTGAACCTAATTTTAAAAGAGCACAAGAACAGAGTGTAGCAGTTTTGAAATCTGTGTACTGAGCTTAATAAATCTACAAAGATGCCTTTATACCTCATTTGATATACGTGATCTACAGTATTTTAAAATAATCTGTGTTCAAATTCAACATGACAGGCAACCTCCCTTTCTTACTTTCATCTGGTTTCACATATCAGCACTGCGTCCAGAATAAAAGAATTAGGATTGTTTAATCCACCTCTGAAAATAACAGTCATGTACATCTCCTCTGACTATTTTACTGTTGCTGTGTTTTATGCTGCCTCTCTGCTGCTTAGCACCAAACAGCACACACTGTTAAGCATACCAAGAATAAATTAATTATGCTCTTAGTTTATCATATTCCAAAATACTTTGCAACATGTGGTGTGGCAAAGAAACAGCCTGGAGTAATACTTTTGCCTTCTCCCCTTGCCTCAAACTCCCCCTTGCCTCAAACTCCCCCCTGCCCACCCACCCACACCCCTTACCTTTTCTTCTGTCTTGGCTTTTTTTCTCAGCTTTGATAACTGCCCATGAGATGTGTTCATTTTCAGTGACGTTGGTCTTTTTTACTCTTTGCTTGGCATGTTTCAGCTAGCTCAACTTAACTGCGAAGACTTAAGATTTATATATATGATAGTGATCACTATTATACATTCTGAGAAAAGTTATAGGGAGGATGCAGGCAAAATTCCTGTTTAAGCTACTCATAACTTGCCTTGGGTTTTTTTTGCATGCTTAGAGTCAGTCAGCCAAGGCCTAGAGTAGAAAGATTGTATAAGGAAGAACAAACTTCACCCGTTATATTTTCTTTCAGAGTGTATATAGATTTAATGCTCAGCTGTCTTTTGGACTAATGAATGGTTTTGATTTGTACCAGTCTTCATTACTGGCTTCAAGTTACTTTATGTTTTCTAGAGAACTGCAGTTGAATCAGATTTTGTTACTGTATCAACTCTTTTTTGTTTGCTTTTTTTTTTTCAATAAAGAAAACTAAATTAACAATAATAATTTCCTTTGCCTACAACCCTGAATGGGCATATATTGAAAAGTACAATGTAGTATTAAAAAAAAAAATCCTGGAGATAAATGAATGGCAGAATAAATAATTTATGCTAATGAAATTACTGCAATTAGTAGTTCCACAATGACCCTTTTAAAAGCCACAGCTGTTAATGTCAGGAAGTGCTGTCACCGCTGACCTTATCATAAGAGAAGGTGACAAATTGAAAATGCAGGGAAGACCAATCCTCAAAGAGGTCTGTTCGGGAACGATTAGTGTTTTCTGAAAACCAGTGTGAATTACAACCAGCTGCTCTCTGGCTCAGCGTGTCTCCCATGCTGTGCCATTTTGTTAAGCTCGATAACAATAGTTATTTTGCCCCATTGAGACAAGTTGTCTCGGGCCACTTCCAGCTCTACCGGAACCCACTTCGTCCCTCACTGATTTACAAATGAGACTGTTGTTAGAGGGCTTTTCAGGGCTGCTGAGTAGAGACCTCTCATAAGGATCATGTGTAAGGAGGTTGTCTTTCACTGGGAAGAGCTGTACTGCAGGGTGCGTATATGTCACAAACAATAAAAAAAGGAGAAAAAGGCTGAAACACATTTCAGTTGAAAGCTAAACACTGCTCAAATCTGCATAAAGTTTCTATTCCTGCTGACTAGCCTTGCTTTTACAAACAATTTTTTAAAGATGAATTTATGCTACTTTGCTTCAACTAATGATGTTCTGATTTTTTTTTGTTTGTAAAGCAATTTATTTGTTTTCCCTAAATGCAAATCATTCTTTATTTATT